ATTGACTCGAAACCGACAAACCTTTTGATTCTAGTTTCTGACCGCTGGTTCGGCGAGCACATTTCCAGAGCTGATAAGAAGTCAATAAATGTATGGGGTGTAATAAAGATCCCCATTAAAGGTTACTCCGTTAGCTTTACACAATGTATTCATTCTGAAGAACATGGTTGCATTCGGAGGATGTAATTATCGCTAATCACATAGAGAATAGATTGGTTTTGAATGTAGGATCACTACAACGTTCCTTGTGCTTGAAGTCAAAACAAACATTCCGGTACTACTTCTGTCATGGTTAGCATACTCGAGTTTACATCCTTCCCGGTGTACGGTTGACTGATTGAAATAATTCAAGGTGAACCTTGGAGGATGAATGGGTGAAATAAATGACATACATCCGAAACTAATGCTCATTAGTGAATCCGAGTGGAGTGGAAGGAGAACGATTATGAAGAATAAAAGCAAATATGAACGTTTGATGTCAGAGGTAGCATTAGTTATTTCAAATAACTGAATGATGATAAAAATTCTTCTTGAAATAGAGGCTACTCCCGTTTTGAAAAATAGGGTAGTGATTCACGTGTAGTGCTTATACTGGTATGGTCATTGGTTGTATAATCCAATAAGTGAAAGACACTTTACCTGTGGATGTATTGGAGGATATGGACATCTCTTACAAATGATTTTGTTTTAGTTCTTAAAATGCATCACCAATGAATATATCTCAAACATATTGAGGCCATTTAGTTTCTGGAGCAGTGCTGAACTAGAAAAGTTCATTTTATCAACTTTAAGGACGATGTAGTAATGGAAGACGTTGTGCTGATCATGATGCCTGGACCGGTTTGCAAATCAGTTTTCTATTCGATTCCATTGAATTCGTAAACGGTTAATCGTTGGCAATATATGTGAGTCATGAATGATGTGTGAATAGTTTGTGTGTGAATGGAAAGGGGTTATTCAAAAGGATTTTCTCGTGTTAGGTTAAGTGGCAGATGTGAATGGTTCCCGGCTTTCCATTTGATGTTAGCGACTTCGAAAGCACCAATCATTAAGGTAGGAACAATTAAAATATCTAGTGTTACGTTTGCGTTAGCACATTGAAAAAATCGAAAACCTTCTGATTTACAACATCTGAGTACTACGAACAAGTCATGCAGCGGAATCCTTTCACTTACACTTCCGAAGACCAAAGTAAACAATATGCCGAGTTTGGTGCCGTATTGCTGCCTAACTCGTCTTATTCAGTTCATTATACTATCACTAAAGATCGGTAAATATTACTGGAATACCGTCAATATCCTCAATTCTTGTTCAAATACAATGGAAGACAGATAAATTGAGAACCAGTGAGTTCAAAGTCAATATTGATTAGATCACCCACTGTGCAACGCTACAATCACGAGGGCAAAGAAATACATCGATTGATCACATTTTTGAATAAAGTATACCATGGCGTTTGATAGTGCACTTCATTTGAGGCCGCCATAATTCACACTGGGCCCTGAGGACTAATGATGCAAGCTGTAATCCATAATTGTTGAGTACTGTACTCAATTAGAGGTAACTCGTTGCGTATAAATCTGTTGTCTTTAGATTTAGAAGAGTTGTAAGACAGCACGTAAATGAATTAAACTAAAATCAATTTGCGACTCTCTGTGTTTAAAAATTATCTGTTTTATAAAAAAACGGAAAACAACTGATGATTACATCATATATCAAGTGCATGCCTCTACTTACCTATTTTTGCAGATGACAAATCGCACATGTGGATAAGCAAACCGATTGGATGGAACCAGGGGAAAGGAATATTTCTGGTTCGAGATTTGGACTCTTTCAATGAACATTTGGAAAAACGTGATCAGGAAGCCAAGGCATCCCCGAGCGGAATTCCAGCACGTATTGTACAAAAGTACGTCTTCTGGTTACTACTTCATCAATTGTGTCATATTTTATTATGAATTAACTAGCAGTTAAATCATATGCTATTTCTTTAGTGCTAAAGCAAATTCAAAACAACCTCCAGAACAGTTTGGGGAAATAATAATTTACCAGTAATTCATTCTCAAACCGTTTGCAGATTACACTGGTAGTGTAATGTGAACGTACTCCGAGCTCTCGCAGCTCAGCCGAGTGAACGGATATGCACGACAGGATGTCCCTCGGCTTGTATTCTCACAGCGAAAGATAATCCGAGCCTTTGCATGCGACGGGGAACGGTGGAAAGGATGCGGGACATGGGTTGGCGAGGAAGCACTGGCGGACAGGTCTTCCGTGGTTCGGGGTTGAAGTTAAACCTGCCTGGCAAAGCAAACAAAACGCCATGAACCAAAAGCGTCCAGTGAAATACAAGCACTCACGATAAAGTATTACTGGCGTGATTGTTAAGTTTTAAAGTAGCATTAGATCATATATCAGAAAGTTAGACACAACACCATCATGGGTAAGAGTTTGTCACGGTCAACTTATTTTTGTCATGTGACTAGTTTAACAAGTTTATGGCCTCAGTTTGACTGAACGGGGCAAATGTTCGGACCTGGTTGATCATGGGCAAAGTTGGAGTGACTGAACCAAACACTACTGGACGCAGAAGTCAGGGGTCAACTTTCTTATCCCGATCGCCTCGGAGTGCTAGTTGAACTCCCTGCGTTTGTTGTGGGGGCCAACCATCAATAAGTCAGAAAGAGACACCTGGATTTATGTAATACCCAATGTTCAATACTGGAACTACACTCTCTATTGATCCGGTCTATTGAACTCCTAATCACCGTGGGTGATGTTCCTTAATTCCGGTAGATAGCAGTCTTGTCTTTCGATCAACGTAAAATGCGCCACAAACGCAACTGAAAGAGTGCACAACCCTTTACGCGGTCAACATCGAGATACTTGTCCGTTTTCTAGTGTGGGTAATCGAATGTCTTCGAAACACGCACCGTATTTTGAAACGTTGATCAAAAAGCTGGATACGAAAGTTGACCCCTGACCTCTGAGCCCCAATAGCGGTCACTCCAACTTCCATTACCCGTGATCGATCAGGTCCGATTATTTGAACCGTTTAGTCACCGTGAGGCCGTTCTTACCTATGTTTGGTGTTGTGTCTAACTGTTGAATCTATGTTTTAGTGCTATCAGTGTAATCTTTAATCTGGTGCTGAATACATTCTCATCCGTCCTCCGTTCATCTCTCATAAATGAGCTCATTCATAACATGAACCAAGGCAACAGATGCATACAGGCAAAGAAACTGTCCAGCCATCCTGCGAGTTGGCACCTTTTGAAGAATAACCAATATAAACAATTTTCAAATTTACAAACAGGCAAGATTCGTCAAGAGCCACAATGAAGATCTCAGTATTTGTAGGGTTTTGTGGAAGTTTCCCTCTCTTACGATTATATGACTTTAATCAGAGACAATGCTATTGAAATATATGCGCGAACGCCATCTGCACTACTCTGTGTAGCCTACATATAGGCAGATCAGCTATGACACACCGTATATTCCTCCATTTTATCCATATGTGCTTGCTCTCTGCACTTGTTTAGGTCAGTGGAAAGATCAGCTAGCATGTGAACTAATTGAGAAAATAGATTTTGCTTCAATAAGGGACCTTATTGGATCACCTTTAAGGAAAGTAAGCTGTTTGAGTATGATTATTTGAGGAAAGATCACAAGTGTCTTTGGGTTTCTTGGGTATTTCAACGTTGATGACATTCCATTTCGCCTGTGCTTGTGATGATGTCACATCGGCTGGTGATGAAACGTTTGCAAACGAATTGCCAAGCTCGGCGTACAGGCGAAATAGAATTCAGTTCACCCGAGCTACGAGAACCAATTTTCAATATTTTGTCAATTTGATGGCATGTTAAAGAGAACTGTTTATTGCAAATGAGAATAAGTTTTTCGTTCATCCTCTCTCTGTTTTCGTCCATCCACAGATACATAGAAAATCCTCTATTGCTTGATGGCCGGAAATTTGACATACGCTGTTACATGTTAATAGCAAATTCAATGCCCTACTTGGTTCTTTACCATCCCGGTTACGTTCGGCTTTCTATGCATCAGTATTCAAGTGGTGATCCGAATTTACTGACCCACTTAACCAACCAAGTGAGTGCAAACACAGCCAGTGTCTTTCTCTATGGTCACCCATTTTGTTGCAGAAAGTACATTAGTAAATTTTCATTCCGTAGACCATTGCTTTTCCTTTTGCAATGGTCTACCATTAACTGTGAAAAAAGTTGGGCTTGAACAACCTACAACTTTTATGTTATAAAGGTGATGGGTCGCAATAAAGCCGTCACTACTCGCTCAGTTGAGATAGGTCAAATGAACAATAACAGATGAACGTCTTCTGTTATTTACTGGTAACAGATGAAATGATAGACATACCAATATCGAAGATTGAACTGTACTTTCAACAGGATTTGTTGCGGGCATTGTTAGTAATTTGGTAAAACGTCAGTTATACCATACATGGCCAGACTGATGGCACACCGCGGCCTAGGTTCCTTGGTTCGCACGTGTCATACCCATTGTGTTTTTGTCTAACAGTTCTCTGAAATTTAGGTTAATTGTTTGTGCATTCTGGATTTAGACTAGTAAATACACAACATTGGAACCGATCACTGCACGCTGTCAACTGAACTTCGATCTTATTCGTGAAATGAACTCTTGCCAGTCAGTTGGGAACAAAAAGAAGCAAGCATTTCATGTCCAGATTGTTTCGTTTCGAACTCATTGCCTACGGGCTGACAGGTATTGGTGAGGTTAACTTGCCCGGATAAGCCGGTTAGTAAGCCGCTCAGATAGGCAAGAAAATAGGCACACCAAATGCCACATTGTTGAAAGGAAATAGATAGCAGAAAACGGTACACGCCAATAGTTGTGGCTCGCTTTCTGGCACAAACGGAATGCTGCACAAAAAATATATTTCTATTCTGTCGAGAAATTGCCTTGTAACTGAATCACCCGTAAAACAAGAGTTGACACATTTCAGTTCGGAATGAATACCAGGATGTGTTTGGCAAGAGAGAAGGTCTTTTTTGGCATACTAAAACGTTGCTGCTGATACGTTCATAAAATCTACCGCTCAACAAATCAGCGATCACTCCTTTGTCATTATTCCTCCGTTACTGTTGTAATGTTGAAATAGACGATATCACTGGACTAGGGTGAACTGTGACCCAAACGATACGTACAGGATTACTGATCACGACCAGAAAAATTACCAACCCAGCGACTGAGTGAACAGTACACATCTAAGCCCGACGGCTATACCAGCCCAATTTCCAAAAGAGAAACGAAGGAACGTCCCGCGGAAGTAGTACGATCCCCAAACCCGGTCGGAGAGAAGATGAAAGACGGGTCTTCTGGTGGTGTTGTGGCGAAGATTGTGGGCAACTGATCTGTTTACGTATGGTTTTGAGACTGGTCAGTAATGACATTGGAAATAAGCTGGAAAGTAGAGAGTCATGAAGAAATGGATCAATGGAATATAGCCGGTGGTGTGGTATGAGCCTTTTCCGGCTCCAAAATCCGGAAGTTCGAAATTTATTTAAAATTATGAAAATAAGAAAAACTAGAAGAAATAGTCAATTTTAGGGGGTAGCGGGTTGTGTCTATCAGTTATTGAAAGGTATTTTGCGCTGTGGAGTCTATTTTTCCAGTCCCGTTTCATTTTCTGATGAGAACAAATAAAACGCGTTCATTGATTTAATGCGGTTCTACGTTCGTGCCACTAAGTAGAATCGTGATGCCCCACTCAGTTTTTCAACCTTCTTGGAACCCATCTTATTCCCGGGTGTAGATTCTCTAACTTTCGATTTCGATGATTAAAGCTGTACCCACTGTACACTATCGTCTTGACTCCTAAGGGGTTATTCCGATCATTTACTCGCAAAGTCGAAATGCAATTAGGTTGAACGTGATCTCGTCTTATTACAGCTTCACAAAGATCTAAAAGTGGGCGTGAACTCCGGAATTTGCACCTTTATCTTGTGGATGAGGAATCAGAACTCTACTAGAAAATTCATCTATTGGTTTTCAAAATTCGAAGGAAAAATAAACCTTATGTTAGGCGTGAAATTAATCGAGATGTGATATTCAGTCATGGAAATTACATTTTTCAAGACTCTCTACTAGTGAGTAGTGAAAACCCAAAGGTAAAATGTAAAATTTCCTCTTGTTTCAATTGGGTTTCCATTTGCGATGTTAGTGAGCTGCATAAAAGGTTTAATCTAGATATCGATGATTTGGATAGAAATATCCAGTAATTTCTCTGCCAGACTGCATTTGTGTTCTTTTTGGTACTCTATTTATTTTGAATGTACCTTATTATTTGTGTTATTTTGTTTCTATGACACCCAACATTAAAGGATATATTGATGGTAAGTCATTCGTTATTCAAGAAAAAAGAACAAACATTGTCAACCGAGCTTACGATAATGACAATCTTGTAGGCAAAATGAAGGATTTGTGAAATGCGTGGAGAGAAAGGGTCTTTGAACGAAGTATTTCTGTCCACTCTATATAAACTCTCCATTACAGATGGGGTGAGATTTGACACCGATTTAAGACTTTGGGTTGAACCTTAGTCTTGACCGACCAAATTTCATTGGCTCATCAACGTAATATTTGACATCCGTTCCGATTCCCTTTGAATTTCAGTACATTCAAAAGAAGGACCCGAACTACGTTGAGGTAAAAAATGATACAGTATGGACGATCGATCGATTGAACGATTATGTGAACAAACACTATAAAGAGGAGAAAAAATTACCCGAAAATTGGGTACAGTCTGTTTTGCAGGTGAGTACTCGTGAGTCGAGTTTAGGGTGGATGAGCGCCTGCTTTATCAGTATCGAGATAAGTGCCTGCAAAATCAATTTCATCTTTATAAGAACCTTTTGGAGAAGAGTTGCGCTTGTTTTCTGGCATGGTCACATATATGACCGTGTACACCGTGTACCTTTCTTGATCCTTACAGTGGCGCATCCAAAGAATTATCTATCAGGTGTTCTTGGCAGTGAAGAATCGTCTGGCAACAAGAATTGGATTATTTCAACTATTCGGGTTGGATTTCATGCTTGATCAGGAAATGAGGGTGAGTCTGTGAAGCAAGGCGTTTCTTTTGCGCATGTTCAATTTGTTACCTAAGAATTGGATTGAGTAATGAGAAGCAAGGCACTCTGGCTGTAATTCAGTATCTATCAGTAATTCCATCATTTGCCACAAGGTAGATTGGTGGAGAAAGGAAACTTGTCCAAAAGGTATGAGTACCAGTAAATTTAAGAGTGCTTTTTATATAAAGCCATGGGAAAACAAATGTCAGAAGAGCCTAATATAGAACCACAAAAGCTCATGCAGTAACAACTGCATATATGCTTATCTTAACCGTTCACCGGGAAATATAAAAATGGTTAGCTTGTACCCCCTAGTATTGTACACACGGTAATATGGATTGCTAAATATGTGAGTACTACATTTTTGCCGATATAAACACAATACATCAGGTGGTAGGTTATTTGACCTAGGGCACCCAGTTCTGAAATTTGCGTCTTGTTTATACACGAAGTTGTCCGAAGTGCAGTTAAAAGGCGCCACTCAGATAACCTCTGCATTTGTTCTTTCGTTGACACGTTTTCCAACATTGGGTTTCTGCATTCGCACTCTAGCAAGTCATATAATTTTAATTTTTATATTATGGTCATTATTGACATAATATCGACGGGAGATAAAAAGACGATAAAAAGGAGATCAATTGGGACAGATATTTATGGACGAAAATGGTCAGAATCAGGTGAATCATTCATTTGTGTTTATGGTTATGCTGATCGGTGTATATTTCTTGTTTACGTGTACCGAATACATTTTCAATTTCTGGATAGCCTTACTCATTTTTTTCGAAACGTTTGCTACAGTGTTCGGCGGGATTACCAATTGAACAGTAAGCTAAATCGATTGTTCCTATAATTCGGGTAGTGAATGTTAATTATCGATGGTAATTTTCAGGCTGAACCTTAAACTAGATCTCGGAAACGAAATGTTTTAGGCTAAGCGTAAAACAGTAATGTTGATTTAGTTCAATTTACGTTACTTTTGCAATCCTAATTAATTCAGCCGATGAACAATTGGTTTCGATTTAAGAAGGAGGATTTTTTCTGATTTTTAACTATTCACCTTATGAGCACAGTTATCCGTGATATTTATGTCCAACCCAAAAAACTACTTTATATTGCTGTGGCTTTTGATTTCCGATCAGAGAGTTTCATGCAGCCTCAAATGTTTGCTGTAAGTTCATTGGCGCAGAATGTATTATCGAACAAGGTATTTGCAACACTACCGCAATCTTCAGAAACGTAATCCGTACTCTCCACATTTTGCTTCCCGCAAAGGGGAAGCGGGCAGGGGAAGGTAGTTTGCAATGCCAGAAGGTCAAATCACCCAATAATGTGAATCGTTAAACTCTACTGTATGTTATAATGGTTCGCTACCGGAGGTTTATTATGTAGGACGAAGTAAGAAAACTTGTTGCTTCGCATTTCTGTAATCAATTTGATCATTGCCTACTGATGTGCATATTTCACAGCCATGGTTACTGGAAGTGAATTCCAATCCAGCAATGGCCACCAATTGTGATGTGCTAAAGGACGTGTTGCCTGACTTGATACAAAAGACTATTCGTAAGTCGAATCAAACGAGATTTTAACGACTTAAGCGTTGTTAAGACAATGTCAAAAATTCGGTGCATAAGGAGAAAGTAGCTAATCTGAATGATTCATGAATTTAAACAGTTTACCCGTCAATTCACAATGCACCATTATTTTGAACAATATGTGCTTCTCTAGTAGAAAACCGATTAACAGTCCGGCGAACTTGTTCGCAAGAGTGTGAGTTGTTACTTACGAAGACTAGGTTTTATCGTTGGTCAGCACTGCAAATATTTATCTGACCAACACCAAAGATTCTACTGTAATTTACGAGAGGGAGGGGGAAAACCATTATACGAAGAAAAGACCATGCATCGTTTATCAACGCTCACATTGAATTGCGAAAATCTGGGCTTCAAAATGCAGAGTTCTGCGACTTACGCCCGATGCTACAAGTTTAACTTCCTACTTTAAAATGAAACAGATTCAGAAACATGTTCCGTACGCATTATATGCCTCTCATATACTAGTGGTAATTAACATTACCCTATCAGCTTCCTAAACTGTGCCTTGGCATGAAGGAATCAGGTGATGCCTTGTATCTTTTAGCTGATATCTTGTTTTGAGTCCGAGCTCACTACTAATGAAATTTAATACGATCAACTGCACACTCAGAGACAGAGCTGGCGAGCTAAACAACCAACGGTTTTGTCTTCGCCACTATCCGTGCACAAGATACAGGAAACGATGTACGAATAGTTTTAGTTGACGGTTGCATTTTCAGTTTGCCAAGGAAAACTATGTCTCCTCAGACTTGGTTTAGAATATGTCTGCCGAGGTAATAGGGCTGGAGTTTCTTTTAAGTGCCATGCATCTCATGTCTGTTATAAGTTGTTTTTGTGCATCTTTGAAATGCATATATCTCCGGTTCTGTTGATTAGAAAATCTAGCAGATATATTTCAATAACAGTTCAGAAGCACCGAATATGACAGGAACTCTGTAATTTGATTCGTTTTTGAATCCCACATCTTACGGTGCACCTATCGTCCATTCGAAACTTACTCCTAAAAAGGGGCTTGAGTTAAGCGACATTGTGAACTCCAAAACAATGACATGAGGTAATTCCTGCGTGAACCCAGAGGGAAATAAGCCATTTGGTGGAGTGAGCATTCTATCTGCAACTGAGAATTTCGACTGCGGTTATCATCGGAAGTATTAGATAAATAATTGCAATATTGGTGACGATCATTCTCGGATGAAGATACAAAAGTATGAAAGGAGTATTTTGTATTTTAACAATGGTAATTTGGGGACATATTTTATTTTAACCGATTCATTTCATGCACCTAACAGCTGGTCTAATGCCCCTAGCTCAAATGTAGTATCAACAGATACAAATCTTGGACTCTATTTTACAATAACTTATCACCATTTATACAGGATCAAAAACGCATTTATTTAGCGTCATCTCATTTATTAAGCAAAATGTTCTACTGCGAACTTTAATCAAACTCTGTCGATATTTGTTCTAGATATCACTTTGGAATGCTTTGAGAAAGCGAAACACGAAAAGCCTCTACTTCCGCTAACGGGTAATTTACACCCGAACTCGGGGACACAAACTACACACTCTTCGAGTCCAGACCGCGGTAAATTGGACGAGTCAAAACAATCCATTTCAGCGGTAAGAGGGTTTGGTCTCCCGAGAGGCTTTTCCCTCATTTACAACGAAACTGCTTCCTCATTCCGTACACGATGGTCTATTGCTCAGGGGAATATATTGCGCACTTGGATTGTTCCGCGTTATAAGCCACCTATATTGCCAGTGAACGCGGCTACTGATCAGCGGTCGAACGCTGCTCTATCCACGCGGCTTCAGAATATTCCCAATGATACTCTGAAGAACACTGTTGATAGTGCCACCGGTCAAGGTCCCCCGAAAACTATTCCACTCCAAGCATTTGGAATTACTGTGCATTCTCAGCACTGCCAAAATGCACGTGTGTCGGGTCAAGAAACAATCAATCAAAGCTTTGTTCAGAAAAGTGCATTGTCCGATAAAAGACCTTTTGAACAAAGTCTCAGAAGATATGCTCCAATGAATACACAACTGGCAAACAATAAAACAATTAGCACATCAATTAATACAAAGAGGTTGACAGGTGAGGTAGTACCTCTGACCAGAACTGTTCCCTCCTGTCAGCCATCATCTTCGCTGATCTTCATTTCTCCACCACAGGTGAGAAAAGGACTCCTACTTCGGCCACAGGCCTTTGATCATGAAAGCAGTGAAGCAAGTTTGGAGTTTGAAAAGCCACATGAATCACCCGCCTGTGTTGTTGAAGCGGAGAAGTTGCTCACACTCATCATAGATAGCGAGGAGGAAAATTACCAAGAGATGAGAAACTCAGTCCCCGTCTCTCATCAAGAAGGCTTACAGACTCGTACGAAAGGCAGTCTTTTGAACAGAGCACGAGAACCGGTCCCAATGGCCTGCATTCAATTGGTTGCCAAAAGTAACTATCGATCTGTTCGTCCGCGTTTTACGCCAAACGCAGCCAACGGTTCACCTAATTCCAGCAGAGAATCTCGTCTGCTGGTAAACCCATTTAACGGGAAAATCATCCCAAAAAATGAGCGCAACTTTTTACCAGATATTCCAAATCATAAGAGTAATCAGAAACTTCCAAAAAGTGCCCGACGTGCGCATTCACCAGAGGACAGGGGAAGCTAACTTTAATGCCATCTGAGAGAAATCTCAATCCCAATACCTATGATAACACTCTCTTAAAAAAACGAACATACCCGTTCTCCGAGGAAACTACATCTATATTATTAATGATAGATCAAAGTAAAATATTTTCTGTCCACATGTCTGTGATCAGAAGAATATACTAGTCAATCACTGTTAAAATCCACACCCAATGTTTACACTCTGAAATATTGCGATTAGTGACAATCCCGCATTCATCTGTCCCCCCAACCATTCCACCTATGGAATATCCACGGAATTTTCATTGTTCATCAGGTATTTTCTGAAAAATCATACGTGATTTATTGGTGGGCATGTTGTGTTCCAATCCATCCGTGCCAATACACACACGGATGCAGTTCTCATTGTATTACCATGATTGTATTACAATGATTTTCCATTCCAGCAATAATATATGGTTTTATACGGAACATTCCATAATTTGTTTTACTTAACTTTATAGCTTCTAGTGTAATCACTAATTCAAAGGATCAACGAAATTTGTTCTGTCGCATGCATAATACTGTTTCTTCTCTCAGTGTGTTTCGTAGTCCAGTATTGCACTGTATAGAGGTTTCGGAATCTTAGAGTTTCATCAAGGGTGAGCAGTGGTGGCCTGGTGGTAACATCACCAAATTATTACCCCAGGGATGTGTGTTTGAATCCCACCACCACCGCCTGACTCCCTTTTGTGTGTAGAATTTTATTCATTTCATTTTCAGTTTAATTTTTAATTCTTTTTTTATTGAGTATAGAAAGATACAATTTTCAGGAGGAGGAAGCCGCCAATCAAAGGACTGCCGTACAATACAAATAATAGGGAAAGACAGACGATAGTGATGAGATTAGAACACACGTCCTTTGTGATGATAACTGGTGACGTTACCACCAATAAAAGGGTTATAATCCATCGACTGAATCAGGATTGAACCCCGAGAGCCAGAGAGGAGAATGCAATAAATACACATGATATTTATATCAAGTTTGAAGTAAAGAAAACTTTTTTCATCTGATCAACCCATCCATCAGTATTCATGCTACAGAAACCTTAACATTAGTTACGATAGCATTCAAATGCCGTAAAGCTATCTACTTTATTTTTTCAGCATTTTATTGTGTTAAATGTGTATTTGCATGGACTTTTGCGTAAACATATGTCCGCATTTAAGTAAAAAAATGTACATTATCTCATCGGAAGAAGGAAATAATACGAGTAAATCATTTGGCCACAAAGGATTCTGAGAAATTCAGAAGAAACGCGCTGTTGGTTTGCGAGGATTCTAGAAAAATGGGGAACTATGGAGTGCCTGTAGAGGTTGATGCGGGAGAGTAATAAACGATATTGAGAGCACATGGATGAATGGGAGTGGCATTTTGATTCGCAGGCGGACAAGTGTATTTCGCACAGTCTTTTAGATGGATCATCACCGGGTATAAAAGGCAAAAGACATAATCCACAAGCCGTGACGACGAATTTGGAAGATTTTCTCAAGTAGACCAACGAAAATCACGGGAACACAATAAAGAAGAATAGAAAAAGCGTGGGTAAAAATGAGCTGATTTTTGCTTGGCATAGAACTGCCTAAGTTTTCGAAGTTCAGAGTATAATTCACGAATTTTCTTTGCGCAGGTGTATGTGATGCGCACTTTATGCTTGTTTGTATTAGTCGTAGGATAGGAATCTTTGAAGAAGATGAATGCAGTCACGTGATGTGTTGGGAAGACAGATTCTAATTTGGTTAGTTTGTTTAAACGAATAAAATACAGTGTGGGGGTATTCAGAGTATGAAGCTTGGATTAGCCCAGGCACCCTTGATGGTCTTGGGTGTGGGTTTTAGTCCTCGGGACATCGTTAATTCCCCACAAAGGAATGCATTCAGATGCGATGAAAATGTTTGTGATAATCGATAAAGAGCACTGGACAGCTGTTTCATCCTGTTTGGGACTCGTCAGCAGTGTGTACTATTGTGTTCTTTTCAGGACTCGAACTGCGAAAATTCGGGCCCGGACTTCAAACCTCTACCCCTGAAGCCTCTTAACAATCCACCTTGTTAATCCAAGCTTCAGGCTCCAAACTGATGGAGCCATTTGCATAACGTGATGAACTCTAAATTGATCGAGCCATTCGCACAAGGTGATAACCGTCGACCGTGTAGCTCAGGACTAAGGGTTTCAACTCCCGACTCGAATGTTCGCGGTCCGAGTCCTGTCTGGGACACAAAAATTACACACTGTTGACGAGTCCCAAACAGGACGAACTATCTGTCTGGTGCTTTTGTTGATTTTCACAAACAGTTCCATCGTATAGGATGGGGGTGTATCTTAGACCTGAGAACAAATAGACAATGATCACTGGCTGAGATGATCGCAAGTAGATGGAGGATACTTTGTTATAATTCTGTCTAAAATAGAGTTACCTCCGATCGGTGAAAAGCATAAATCAATTAGATCGAAAGCGGTAAGAAACCTGACTGAGGAACGGTTAAAATTACCCACAATAATATCTATTTTATCCTTTAGTAATGGCACAACAAAAGTTGAAAATGAGTCAGAGAATGTTGAGATGGTGTTTGTGTACAAAACGGCGCCAAATATAAGTTCGCTCTGCTTTCCATGTCGGGAGAATCGAAGGTGGCACTGAAGAGATAAACAATCAATATCATTGCTTCGGTATGACACAATAACATCTGACTTGCCACACCGCGATATGTTGGCATAGGTAGCCACGTCACCGCTGGTGTTCTTGCCATGGGAAAATCTGTCATGCCGTTTCAGGTCAAACACATCGATAGACACCATCGTGTCAGCAACATTCGGGTTCAGTCGATACTCTTGTTTGCAAATCATACAAATATGAAAACGAATCCGAGAACGGAGAACAGGTGGTAAATCCGGGGTTTTCGCGAACAGGGAACACATGTTCATACGCAGTAGTAATGGGAGAGACATCTTGAAAGGAAGGGTGCACGTAGGAGCAACTTGCCACCCGGCCCGTTGTGTTCTTGTGTGAATTTCGAAATCCGAGAGAATTAATTGTAGCTGAACCGAATCGTGGGGTAAATCCGATAGTGTTAAAGTAAGAGTCATTTTGAATGCGATATACAGAAAAACAGGCTAGAGGAATGAAGGAAACTTTCAAGTCGATGAGTTGTGACAAGGACTTCCATTGGCGTGCACTATTAGCGTGCAGTCACCAATTCTAACCCGTGAGTGTAGGTGTAACGGTAAACTTTATACATTCGCCAATAGTTACATTATTAACACTATACCCATTGTAAAAACGAATGGGTGGCGGCAGTAAACTGGAAATTGTCAAGTTTAGTCCCATACACAGCTTGGGCGGACACAGAAAACACAGTGAGGGCTGAGGCAGTTTATTTCTACGTAAACCGTGGTTCTACAGTAAAAAGTGATCAGTCAATAAATGACAAATTCAAGCAGACTTATGACTATGTTACCTGACGCCAGCGTACAGTGTGAAGTGTTACGAAAATCACGCAGCACGTATGAAGATCAGCGGAAATGCTTTAAAATGGTAGAAATAGACTCTCGTTACCACCAACATTCGATCGCAACTCCCACTGTCACATACACACACACGCAAGGAGAGCACGACTGTCGCGCACGAACGTACAATGACGCACAGAACGAATGGAAAAATGCAATGTACAAACTGTACCTGGGGCGGGGGTTCTGTCGATTATGAGTTCTCATGTATTTCTTGACTCTTCTGATTGTTCGTTGTTAGTGTTCACCGTATTCAACCACTATGCGCCTGAAAGGGACAGGGAACGTAAAACAATTACTATACATTTTCAACTTCGAGTGAATCCGCCGTAACTTCAAGTGAATCCAACCAATCGCACTCGATTAGAAACCCAACAAGATTATTGGTGTTTCGGCAGTTAAATGTCACCCACTGGTCCGTCTAAACCCGGTACAGTCCGAATGAACCCACTGCCCCGTAAATAAACAAAAGTACATTTTAGTGAGTTACCGAGCAAGGTTGAATGTTTCGGGAGGAGGGTAGGGGGGGGTCGAGGTGGGCCGTTCTCCCCCCGCCCCACACACACACACCCGTTCCACCCGGGAACGTTTGGTTCGTGATCGTTGATCGAGTGTGCGTCATAGATACGAATGAACTAACCCGGAGTTAATTGACCTCTGTCGGTCCGGTAAGGAAGCGAATCACGTCAAGATGGATCAATAAGTCGGTCACCATGCCCAGACGTGAATGTGAGCATGATTCTTAGTATGACTGGAGTCAAATAACCCAATGAGTAAATTCTATTGAGGCCGAGTTTCTCTCGAATAAAACCGATTCCTTTGAATCAAATGCAATTGCTTACGTATTTCTGACATTGAAATGCACAATTCACAAGATACTTAACATTGGTAACAATGGTGAAAGGAGTAACAGTATTTCATCTGAATAGTAAGATCGAATTCGAATCTATTCACTAGCTAACAGAAATCATATTTTTCTCTATCATTCCATGGCTGGTTAATACATCCAATCCACAATGTCAATGGCAACAATTCGTTATCTGCAGCTTCTCTCTTCGCTACTCAGCTTCATCGCATGGGTTCTTATCTTTATTGTATCATTGCTCAACGCATCGCATCTTTTCACATACTGGTTATGTTTGTGTGATCTTTATAGTTTAGTGAACGAGACTGATGGTGACATGAATCACTTATAGTTATCCATGATCCCACAAGCGATGATCACTCTGTACCGGGTGCTCCATGAGGTATTGAGTTGAGGTCGATAAAACATTCTACCCACGGTTGTCCTAATGCTGAATGTTGAATAAGCAAAGAGGTTCAGTGGCACCTCGAATGACACTTTGAAGTATATTTCCCGTATGTATTAGCACGAAAAATTGTGCAACTGTGTTGTAGTTGCCATAAGTTAGAGGGACATTGACAAGTTCGAATTCTTGTTTGAAAATCTGATATTCATTGATGGATTAGTTTAT